ATGTTAATATGATCACGTCTAAATTTTTTCTTTTAGAATAATAAACTTTAATTATGATTAGATGATTTTATTATTCAAAATAGATCTTAATAATAAAAATATATGTACCTCAGCAAAGTCACTAATTTTCGCGTCATACGTATTTAAAATATGGTCTTGACTTTGAATGATGCTAACTTTCACTTCATTCCTAAGGACTGATGGAAACTGCTAGAATGTGAAAAATGGATATTTCCTCTACGAACCATTTTTTCCTTTTCCTTTTTATGCCAATTTATAATCATTATAAGATGTGAACCAACTCACGTATTTAACCATATCTTCGGTTAGAAAATCATATAATTCTGCTGCGAATTCAACACCTATAAATATAAAAATTTTATTAAAAAAAATGTGTCATAGTTCTTGGTTCTCCCCAAAAATTCAAAATAAGTTACCGGTGGGTCCTTTATTTAAGAAAAAAAAAAAGAAGGTTAAGAAAACAAAACATTTTCAACTACAAACTTCAATGATTACCAAACTTACCGCCTCCGCAAACAACAAAACTTAAAAGACGTTTCCTTTCTTCGGGCGATGTTGTTGGTAAAGCTGCTTTTTCGAAATTATCCATAATTGTTTTCCTGATCCTACGGGCATCATTTATCGTTTTCAAAAAATGACAATGTTCAATACCCTCAATTCCATAAGTCATCGATAAAGAACCTACGGCAATTACGAGCTGCAAGAAAAGATCAATGAATATTAAAAATGATAAGCAAACATTCGATTTTAAATTATTACCTTATCATACGGAATGTAAAATGGTTCGCTCGATTCATCATTTGGAACAACTTCGACCAATTTTTCGTTAAAACAAATATCCGAAGCTTTGGCCTCAAGAAAATGTGCCGATATGCTTCTAATAATACATCGGATAGGTTCTAAGAGTGATCTATACAATTAAAAAAAAAAGTAAATATAGGTATCGAAATGATAGCTGCATTTTATAGTTACTAAATATACCTAGTTTCAAGTGTGCCTACAGTCGCAGAGGGAAGAAGCGGCCTAATAATATGATTTTAGTATATAGTATATGATATTAACTACTCAAACCAACGAAAAACTCACGTGAAAAGAAAATAATTTCTACATAGAAAGGATCAAAATTTAGTTAAGGTTAAAAAAAAATCATTACGAAACGGTAAAATAAAATGTAATTTAAGAGTGAAGGACATCTACTGCGGTGATATAACTGTAACATGATACTGGTCTTTCTCCAATTCATTAATGACTGATACAGCCTAAAATTAAGGAGCAATCAATTTATGGACATCAATTCGGTTTTTTCTTTTTTTCTTTATACCTACCCCCCACCCGGAACCAAGAATAACTAAACGCATTTTCTTTGCTTCATAATCTTTGTCATCTGTCAAATGAGTAGCAATTGGCAAATTTTTCGGACCACCTCTTTCAAAGGTACTTGGGAATTCTTTGATTTCATGATCTTGAACTTTGGCTTCTGCATGTTTATGATCGAGAATTACAATAACGGTAGCTGCTCCTATAATTAGAGAGGTCGCAATTACAATTTTTTTTTTAAATTTGGATTTTGTTACGATTTCCTCGGTATTAGCGGTTGACGCGAATTTTCGTGAAATATGACGAAAATTTATTGGATATTTATGTATAGAATTCGAAATCGCGTTTGAAACACGACCCAAAGTAGATAAGTTCGCCTGTCGAGTTTGACCCAAGAAAAGTAGTCTGCGCTTTAAATATACAGTTTTATGACTTGACGCCAGTTGGTTGTAGGAACATTGCTTCCTTAAGGGTGCAAATTTGGCAAAATTTCGCAACATTATAACTGAAGTTCGTCTTTGCTTGACAATCAAAAAATCTTTCTGTAGATCAGTTCCAAATTTATTTATTCAGACAAATTATGTCACAATGACGCAGTAAAACAGTTAAAAGTCCTCTTAATATGTTAGTAATTTTGTAACGAAGTGATATTTATATATTTTAAAAATTAATTCTCTGATTTTAACGGAATCAATCAATATCCGGCTTCGTGAATATTTTTATTTGACAAATGTCACCATGTATTGCTCACTTCGTGATTTTATTTCTTGTATTATCAAAAATTGTCTTTTAAAAAGTTTTTCAATTAATATAAAAGCGAGAAGAAACTATTTATTGTAAGTGTCGATAAAAAAATTTTTAGAGCTAAGACTCGTTGTCGTTATCGCTTTTGAACAAAATAAACTAAATAAATAAGTTTTATTAAAGTGACTAAGTAGTCGGTAATGAAATTTACAAGAAGCAGTCTTTTCGTATTAGCTCAGAGATTCAAGTTTTACTAAGAAATACTTGAGCGATACCCAAAAGTCAATTCTTGATATTTCACGTGAGCACTAAAGATAACCTTTTTCCTTAACCAAAAATGGAATCTCGAAACGTGGTTTTGCATTATAAAAGTTAGTCTATTATCGTCATTATCAATTGCCTTTCTAATTAATAACGCATTTAAAAAAAACATCATTTTTATTGATCATATACAAAATAAATAATTTTTTTTTTTCAAATGCCAAGTATTATACAATGAAAAAATCATTTGTAAACTTTTGATTGTCTCATGATTATTACAAACTAGGCAAATAACCAAATCTTTCTTTTTCATAATATTTAGCAATTAAGAAAGCAACGTCTAAACTTTGTTCATAATTTAAACGAGGATCACAAGAAGTTTTATAATTCAAAGATAAATCTGCATCGGCTAATTGCATTGAACCACCAATACATTCTGTTACACCTTCACCTGTTAGTTCAAAGTGTACTCCATTCATTTGACTATTATTGGCTTTATGAATATGTATCGCTTTTGATAGTTCCTTTTTTTAAGAAAAAAGATAGATAGAAAGAGAAAAGAGCAAATTAGCATAGAACGAGGGATTAAGATAAAACACGTGAGATTGACGCATAAAATATTACCTCAATTATTGAATTAAAATGTCTTGTTTTTACACCAGATAACGATTGTTTTGTGCTATAGATAAAAACAAAAGCGCGTTAATGAAATAAATTTCTGATGGTCCAGCTTGGAAATTTAGCTAAACAGTGCTTACTTTCCGTGCATCGGATCACACGCCCAAACGACGATATGTCCTGATTCCTTGACAGCTTGAATGTGAAACGGTAAATATTTTTCAACTTGATGAGCTCCATAGCGCGTAATTAAAGTAACTTTTCCAATTTCTTTATTAGGATTAACAATATCCAACAAATTTTGCAATTCATCAGGTTTCATGGATGGTCCAACTTTAATTCCAATAGGATTTTGAATTCCTCTAAAATATTCCACATGGGCTTCATTTAATTGGCGTGTACGATCACCAATCCATAAGAAATGAGTTCCAACATTGTACCATTTTTTTTCCCCAGTTTCGGGATCAGGTAATAACCTTGTTAAACATTGTTCATAGTCCAATAATAATCCTTCGTGCGACATAAACAAGTCAACACTATTTAGTGAGTTTGAGATCGGTGAAAATGAAGTATTGGCTCCAATCGTACGCATGAAGTTTAAAGAATCAGTTAAACGATCAACTATCGTTTGATATTCTTGTCGAGTTCCATTTGATCGAACATGATGTAAAGACCATTCCGATGGTCGATTTAGATCGGCAAACCCTGATCCTATGAGCGATCTTACATAATTTAATGTGGCAGCAGAATGGAAATACGCGCTAATTATAAAAATTGATACAATGATTAATTTATTTCAAGGACATGTTTAATAAACTTTGCGTGATTTACATTACTTACCTTAAAAGACGTTCTGGATTGGGCTTTCTATCAGACGGATCGTAGCCATTAACATTATCACCGCGAAAGGAAGGGATCTCTTTACCTTCAACTTTTTCTGTCGGACTTGAGCGAGGTTTAGCATATTGACCAGCCATTCTAGCAATTCTAACGACAGGAATTCTGGCGCCCCAAACCAATACCAAACTCATTTGTAATAGTACTTTTAACTTTGACTCGATTGAATCTTGAGAACAATATTCAAAACGTTCCGCACAATCTCCGCCTTGTAATAAAAAAGCCTTATTAAGCGCAACTTGTTTAAGTTGATTTCGAAGGTTATGAATCTATAAAGATTCAATTATGATTAACCCTTTAAAAAAAGATAATTTTGTTTCAAAGAAAAAGACAAAATACCTCTGTGGGTGTAACCATTGGGGGTAAATGTTGTAAACTATTCGAGACCCGTTGTAGATGTTCTTTATCTTCATAAACAACAGCTTGCTTTATGGTTTTTGTTCTCCATGATAATGGTGACCATTCTTTATCTTCGATTGTATGCTTTCCGTTCGTAAAACCATTATTTTCATTCGTTTCTTTTATTTCTCTTGATATTTCGGTTTTTACAATTTTATTAATATGACCATTCGTGGCCGTGCCATTCATAATAGAATTCCCGGGTGACATTTTTTATTAAAATAAAAAAGTTTTTTTGATTCTATAAAATTTTGATCAATCTTTTTTATATTCAAAAAATCGAATTGATTTGATTTATAAGATTAATTAATGTTATATATTTCGTTTCTATATAAGGAAAAGCCATTGTATTTTTCATACTATTCATAGACATTCAATGACTCATGAGCTATCATATATTGTACTTTTTTTTTAGTAAATTCCATGTGGCTTAATGGGTGGTGGCTGTGAACAAATTTCACGATTTGCAAGTACGTGATTTTTGTGATTTGATGTGATTTATTTATTTTGGTGTTATCTTGATTAGATTATCGACAATTTTTTTTTACCTTTTTGCGAAATAAAAAGAAAAATATATCACAAACAAACATTAAATTAAACAAATACTTCAAATGATAAGTCATTCTTATCATTTAAACCGAGGATTTAGTATTATTGGTAATAATGCAAAGCGATGCATTTATTATCATTATTTCACAGCCTCGAGAAATTTCAATTATAGAAGGTTGTTACATACTAAGCTAATGCCAAGTATTTTACCAGTTAGAAATTTCTCGAGAGGTACGTCAACAACAACAACAACATCAACAACTTCTGAGGGTACGCCAACTGTAATTGACACGAACAATCACACATTTGGATCTTCAATAAGTTTTAATAATAAAGTAGATATTATACAATTTGTTCATTTACTCAAAAATGAGGATTTGAATATGGTAAAATCATTCTTATCAACACACAATTACTGTACAACAATCATCAATACATTAGAATTCAAAGATTCTTTATTGGAACACCTGAGTTCTTCCACCGCATTTGACATGGAATTATTTAACAAAGCAAACGGCATTTTATATGACCATCTTATTCAATTGACAGACATAAAGACGCAAGATCTAGTGAAATTTAACGAAGAATACATACAAGCTTCTTTAAAACATAACCTTCATAGAACAGATCCACTAGTACTAAATTTATATAATGAACTATCATGTAAAGGTAAATCGCTTTGTCCAAATCTCGATTTATTTTGCATATACTTTTTATCAACCATAATATCTAGGAATTTTGAATTAACACCACCTAAAAGAGAGGTTCCATCTAGTACCGAAATAACCGAACCTCCTCTTATTAGTATTAATAGAGAACATTTAGACACATTTTTGAAAGCATTGAAGAAAGGGGATGTAGAAGGTGCGAAGACTCTTTTATCCGTAAATAATTACGCCACGACAATTCATGATACATTAGAATTTAGTGATTCTTTAAGGCATCATCTAGATTCAAATCATGAATTATATCATGCATCAGATAGGTTCTTAAAAGAACATTTGAAAAACGTTCTTGTTCCCAACGGGAATACGCAAGAATTAATAAAACTTACCGAAGAATATAATCAATATTCTTTAAAGTATTATTTAAAGAAATCACATCCACAACAAGTCCTTTCCATGTACGAAGGTTTACTACAAAAGGAAAATTTCAAACTTTCCTACGAATATAAGCTCGTAATATTCTGTGCATATATTAAATTAAATGATGCAAATTCAGCCTTAAGATTCTTCATTTCCGATATTTCATCGTCACCGGAATTCTCTCTTCCAACTTTTACAAAGAGTATTCAATCACTGTCGAATGAATTAGAATATAACAAAGTTCAAGAAATCTTACGTTGTCATTATATTCAAAAACTTTCACCAAATTCCGAAGAATTCACGAATTATATAAAACGATTATTCTCTTATAAAACCTTAACCACAACAAATTCAGCATTAAACCTTTATCAAAAACTTTGTGATCTCGAAGTGAAACTGAATTCAATTACATACGGAGCATTTATAATGGGATTCTTATCACATGATAAATACACTGAAGCCGAATTCATTTATAATGACATGATCAAAAGAGGACAAAAACCTACACAAGTGATATATAATGGGATGCTTGATGGATTTTCAAGAAGGCGTAATGTTAAGAAGATTTATGAAATTTGGCAACAAATGTTGGATGACAAAATCAAACCTGACGAAATCGCTTATTGTGCTATGATGGAAACCTATTTTAAAACTGGGGAGAGTCGTAAAGCGATTGAAATATTTCAACAAATGTCTTTAGATCCAAAAATCAAATTAAATGAAATCATTTATAATCGGGTGATTGATGGATTATTATCAAATAATCGAGTAGATGAAGCGATTATGATTTATAATCAAATGAAAAATCAAAAGATTACCCCTAATATAGTTACTTATAATACTTTAATTAATAAATTACTTGATAAGAAGAAAGAACAATTTGCGATGAAAGTTTTACAAGACATGCAACAATTTAATATTACACCTGATGTTACAACTTTAACAACTATTTTAAAGAGGCAATTTCAAAATCGGGACGTTAAAGGGGTGCAAAATGTTTTAAACATGTTTGATTCCATGAAGATTCGACCAAATACAAAAACTTATGGTACTCTTATTAATGGTTTAGTAAATTATTTTAATGACTTGGTTGGTGCCGAAATGGCTTTTAATGAGATGATGTATAAGCGTGGATTGTCTCCAACCATTCAAATTTATTCCAATATGATACAAGCGTATATTAATCATGGAAAATTTCCATTGGCTGAACAATTATATTCGAATTTATTACAAAGTAATTATGTTCCCACGACCGCAACTTTTAATTTATTTATTGGAGGTTATTCTAGAGCTAATCAGATGGATAAAGCAATACAATATTATGAGAGAATGATCGGTTTTGGGTTGAACCCATCCGATAACACTTATAAAGCTTTAATCAATGGTTTCATTACTTCTAAAAATATGTTGGGCGCTTCTCAAATCTATGATAATATGATAAGTGCGGAATTTATTCCTGAAAATCCTGAGCTGAAAAGACTTTGTCAAATAATAGAACAATGGAGATCAAGACAATTGAATATCAATCAAATCTTAAAATCTTGAGAAACTTTAAGAAAAATAAGGCAATTCCTATTTATTTTTCATAATAATTTACTTGAAATGATAAATAATAATAATAATACGTGACAATTAAATCATTAAATTAAGTTCTTCCAGAAAGGAATCACATCAAAAAAAAAAAAAAAAAAAAAATAGTACTAGTAGTAAATGAAGATTTAAATACTTAAATTTTAGAAAAATAATCTTTGGATAACGTTGGATCTGGAACTATCGTGCGATCTCCACTTTTCCAGTTCACTATAACAAGGGGGAAAAAAAACATGAATTTTGAATTATAATTGTGTATATATATTCATATGCATATTTTTACCTGGACAAACTTCACCGTGTTTGTTTGTGAACTGAATGGCTTCTACAAGACGAAGTGTTTCATCAACAGATCGACCTACGAGTTTAATAATTATTAATTAGGATGGTGTAAACTTGAAAAAATATATATTCTTTTAATTACCGATCTGAGTATCGTTAACATGCGCAACGCGAAGAATACCCTGGAAAAGAGAACATTATTAATATTTATTACATATGATAAATTCAGATCTCGCATTTTACATACCTTGTCATCAATAATGAAAGTACCCCTGTAAATTATTATTATTTTTTTTTTTTAAAAAAAAATTATTGTTTATTTATTTTTTAGCACGTCTCAAATGATAAATTAATACACACCTGAAAGGAAATCCATTTTCTTCATACAAGCATCCATATCTTCTTGTAATCTTTTTCGTTTGATCGGCAACTATCACAAAAATATATTATATACCTTACAAATTCCTGTAACTTTAATTCAATCACTCTCGTAATACTTACTCAAAGGAATCCTTTAAATAAAGATAAATTAATTTAACGACTTGTATTTTAATAATATAATAACGCGCTATACTCACTTGATACCACCAAGTCCACCTTGACTTTTTGGCATTTTACTAATTAATTAATTATGTAATTACTTTTTGTTAAATAATAATTATAAATTTTTAATTTGTTACAAAATAATTATTAGAAATCAAATCAATACTTACTCCCACGCGATATGAGAATGAGGTGAATCACAAGAGATACCAACTACTTCCGTATTAAGGTCTTTAAATTTTTGGATATTATCCCTTGTCGAATTGAAGTTACGTGTCAATAATCAAGTTAACTCAATTTTTCCTAAAAATATTTATATACTTACGAGAAGGCAACCATTTCAGTCGGACACACTGTAAATATAATAAAAAAAATTAAGAATATGATAAAGGAAAACCTAACGCATATCACATTCCTTACCAAAAGTCCAATCCATAGGATAAAAAATCATAACCAAATATTTAGAAATATAGTCTTTAAGTGAAAGTGGTTTAATAACTCCATCAACAGCTGCAGAGGCTTCCCATAAAGGTGCGGGTTTCTGTTCTTTATCAAACATACTTTATTATGCTATATAAATGAATTCTCTTAAACAAATGTCCACTTTAAACTTACAGCTACTCTGGCTACTTCTTCATATCTATAACGGCCATAATTATTATTATATGCCCGTTGTGGTAATTTAATAGTTGTGGTATTATGAATAATACGTATGTTCAAAAATCGCGTGCCAAAATTACGTAAGGCAATCATTCTAAATAGAAGTCGGAATTTATATTATAGCCTTGAGCGAAGAAAAAAAAAATTTGATCAGAAAAATTTATCAAATGATTATCTACAGAATTTTTTCGAGATGACTTTTTATCCAATCATCCAAGCCTGGAAATTTAATGACGTAATGTTACATCATTTCTGAGACCTTTTTCTTTTATACAAAATTCGGGGTTCAAAATTTTAAGTAACCTCCAATTTTCGTTCACTTTGTCTGGTTTTAATTAGTAGACTTCGGTTCGTAAAAAAAATGTCTGAAATCGAACATATTGACCCTTTCGCAGGCATCACGGTTAGTGATTCTGAAGAAGAGATCGAGCAAGTTTTTGAAGCACCGACTAGACCAGTAGTGGCGATAAATTATCAGTATAATCCAGAAGTTAAAACTAACTTCTGTTGTCAAGTTGATAGAGATATTCACGCTGAGGGCACCGTCATTTTGATTAATGATGCGCAGAAGACGACTGACAGTAGTGGAAGTTCATATATTACATACATAGTAAAAGTAGGGGTATGTAATCATATGTACCAAAATTCTCTCCCTAGTTCAAAGAAATTTATTACCATACTTTTTTGGTGATCATAGGAAAAAGAGGTTAATCGGCGGTATTCAGAGTTCGAATCCTTACGGAAGAGTTTAATGAGGTTATATCCTACTTTGATAGTTCCGCCAATTCCGGAGAAACATTCAATTGGTGATCTATCATAAATTCTTTGCTATTCTTAATGGAAAGGAAGCGAGATGCTTCTTTTTCAATTGTGTCAATTGATTTTGACTTGTAATGTGACATTGATTAGCTGATTACGCGACTTTGCAAAACAAGGCCAAAGAAGACGTCGCGATGATCGAAAAACGTAAAAGAATGTTACAAAGTTTCTTAAATCGCGTATCCAGCCATCCACAGCTTTCAGACGAACATGTATTTCATAAATTTTTGGAAACTGGAGTTTCCTGGGTATAATTTTATTCATAAATTTTATGATTTATTACAAATTTTTTATTTTCACTGCAATCTTACTTTATTATTTGGTATATCCATTTAGAACGAGGTGTTACACTCTCCTCCGCTTTCCAATCTGCCAAAAAACATTCTTCAGGCATCTCCCGCTAACCTTTCATCTTCGTCACCTACTAGTAGCGCAGCTCAACAGGCTACTCTTCCTAATCCAAGTGCATCTCAACACTTGAAGAATCCCGATCCACAATTTGTAGAATCTGAAGCCTTTACTAACAAATTTTCATATCATATAAGTCAAAACTTGGAAAAGACAAATAAGAGAACTTGGAAACGCTTGAATGGTACTCCTTAATTTGATATCCTGTGTATAATAAGGTCCAAGTGGGAAGTAAAGTTCATAATTATCTGACATATGAATTATCTCTACTTTATATATTACAGATCTATCAACTGATTACGCTGAACTAGGTGCAATTTATAATGGGTTCAGTTTAAATGAACATGGCGAATTATCTAATGCAATTGAAAAAGTGGGTCAGGCTGTTGATTCTTCTTATATGGCTACAGGAACATTGGTAATACTAATTTTAAACAAAAGTCCTAATTAAATTAGGAATAAAATAAATTATCTTAATATCATCTCTGGATTTTCTCTTTTTCTTACCTTATAAGATTTCCTCACTTGAAGCTGGATTTTCTGAACCTTTACAAGAGTATTCGCAATTTGCTCAGGTTATCAAACAGGTTCTTAAATATAGACACCTAAAACATTTGCAAATGGAGCTTACTGCCGATACATTAGAAAAACAAAGAGGGAATTTGGAATCTTTGGAAAAATCGGAACAAGAAGCGAAAAGGTTAGAAGAAGCTCTAGCTAAAGAGCAAGGTATTCAAGATAATTCCATTCAAGATCCACCACCTAACCCTGATGGAGAAAATAACGAAAATCTTATTGGAGAAAATGATCAATCTGAAGAACAATCTCAGAATGGGGATTTATCACCTCTTCCTGGAGGAAATAAATCTCATCAAAAGAGACGCAGCGGGTCAAAGCTTTTTTCTGTACTTAGTCATACAATTCATGGAATTATAGACGTTGATCCCGAAGCTACTCGCAGAAATAGCATTGGAAAAACTAGAGATTCTATAATTCAGGTTTGACATAAATCAAAATGTTTATTTGTATTTGTATTGCTTTAAAGATGATTGTTTTTATGTGATCTTGTTGTATTATCTATATTATCCTAGCTTGAAGAAGCTCTTGTAACAACTACGGAAGATTTAAAAAATATTTCGGTTTCTATTCAGAGTGATTTAGATCGTTTTCAGCGTCAAAAGATTCGTGATTTAAAAAATATGCTTATAAATTTTGCCAAGATCCATGTAGAATGGTGTCAAAAGGTTCGTGCATAATTATGTAGTAACAATTATTTATTTTCCAATTATAATAATCTTTAAAATTTTTAGAATTTGGCCAGTTGGGAAGAAGCTAAAACCGAAGTTGAAAAAATTCAGACGTAAATTGTTTCCCTGGAATAGAAAAGCACGTTAATTTATTTACTTTGATAAAAGCAAATATTGCGTTAAATTATTATGTATCATTGTCTTTTCAATTTATCTTTACTTTTATTAATTTGTGGTATAGTATCAAAAGTCATTGTAAAATATAACAATTTCTTTATGGACTTTTATATTTTCGATTCTTTTTAATATAATTTGGGTATCATGTAGCCTAAATTGGTTGTTATCTTTATTTTGTTATTTTTTTTATTTCCGATTTTTTTCTTTGAAAATAAATCACGAATCTTGAAATTTATATAAATAGCACTTGGGCCGATATTTACCCGTATTACAGTTATCTACAGTAATTGTTAGTAGGTAAAAACTTCAAAATTTTTTTAAGGGCCGTTATCTTCTAAAATCAATGTAATCAACGAAACTATGTTAAGAAAAAATAAAAAATAGTGTAAAAATCTTTGGGTTACTGTATGCAAAGTAAATTTGACATTATAATCCCCTTGACCTGAAATTCCTGATAAGTAATACTAAATGTCAATAAAAATTTTTTAATTTAGAAAATAAGATTTTAGATAACGTTGATTACTAAATCTTATTAGATACTGATGGGAATTAAATATAATTTAATTAGTGAGGGTAGCCTTAAAACTTCAGTTAAAACTTAGTAATCTACTACCTAAAATGAGTTAATTTTAAAAAGTGAACTGTAATTTGACAAATATTACTTATTTTAATATTTTAAAGTTATACATAATTTATTAGAAACTTAAAATTATAATATATTTACTAATAATTAAAGTTCTGGACGAGTCGAGTTAACTCACGAGTCAGATAAGCCGAGTCGAGTTTAAATCAAGTCGAGTTTATATTTTTTTGACTCGATGATTTGCGAGTCAAATCAAATTTGAGTCGAGTTAAATATTTAACTCGACTCGATTTAAACTCGACTCAAACTCGACTT